TCTTTTTCTTTTTAAATGTTTTTCTAGAGCAAATTAAATAACAAGGAATAAGTCTGATCAAAATAAGGCTCTGCAATTTACCCATTTGTTTACTAAGAGATCTTCATTTTTCTCGTAAGTGCAATTGTTTTGTGTGTTTTAAGTGGTACCAAAAGAAAATAATTTAACTCATGTCTCAAGTTTCAAAATAATATGCCTTCTCTAGTATTGTAAGGTTTAGATGTGTGCTTTCTTATCCAAGTTGTGCTTGTACATTAAAATTTAATGATAGAATTATTGCTTGTGATCATTCACATTTCACTCTAACCATTACAGAATATGATGCATACCCAAATTTAGAAAGCTTTGTAATAAAATTCAATTACAGGAACTAAGCCCAGATTGTATTTTCCCCTTGACCATTTATTCTGTCTCAAGTCTTGGACAGATAGAGACTTTTTAATTTTATATTTGTTCTTCAATGGCATGTATAAAAAATGCACTAAAAGCTGCTGCTTTTTCAACAACACCATGGTCACAGTTAGTTAAATATTTAATGCCGCCAAGCACAAGGCAGGGCATGCCAGGAGCATGAGCTGGGCTATAAAACCACTGTAATGGATTTAGATCCCTTGAGTCCCTAGCGAGTTCTGTACTGAAACAGTAAATGAGGGAGAAGTCTCATCAAGATGCAAGTTTAAATAGGAATCTGTCCTGCCACATCCCCTGACAAGATTAATTATAGATCTCTAAACCTGATGTGTTTTGTTAATTTCTGGCATCACTTTACTAGTCTGCAGCCAAGCTGAACTATTGAGAGTGCCTTTAAATAATTCTGTTTTCCAGAGTGACACTTTTCTATGTATTTTAAGTTTTGATAACTTACTGAGTCACTGATAAAAGCTTCCATTACCGATTTGCCATTAGTCATTGCATCTGTCCTTTGAAATTGGGACAATCTTTTTGCAATAGTGGCAACATGCTGAAAGAAGGAAAGGGCTCTCTCTATGAGAAAATTCAGCTATATTCTGTCAGGCATATGTCCTAAAATCAGAGAAAAAGACAATAAATATAGCACAAAGACACTTTGTCTTGTGAATAACATTAACTACGTTTTAAAGAAGACCCAAATGATCTTTTTTTTTTTTTTTTTAAAGCTGAAATGTTGGCTTTAGTAGTGGCAACACACTATTTGTATATAAAAAGATGTTATATTCCAGAGGGGTTTAAAGCACAAATTTATAGTAAGACAGACATAAAACTGAATCTGTATCAATATTTACCAATTGGATTAAGTTATTTAATTTCTTTGATCTTTACTTTTGTGGTTTATAAAATGAAAAAGATAGTACCAAATTTTGCATTTGCTATGATGACTACATAATATCATACACAGAAAGTAATTGTCACAATTCTTGGCCCACTACAGTCACTAAATATCAGCTTAAAAATAAAAGTGCTGCTTCATAAAATATAAAATATCTTCCTAAGATTTCTGTGGACACAGTTCTCTTAAATGTGAATCCAAGAAGTAAATGTTATAAAAATCTTCAGAGCAGTTCTTACTGAATACTCAAACCTCTTTCTTTCGTGGCGATCTTTGTGATGGATGCTTGAAGTAATATTTTATTGATACAGTGTTCAATATTGTTAACTGAAAAACCGCTAAGCTCAATCAGGTTTTATTATTTTCTACCATGTTCTGTATCCTCTAGAGTGATACTATTAGTTGTGGGCTGTAGCAAGATGGAGCTGGATTTTCTAGACCACCTTCATTTGCTCTCTCTCTCTC